TGACAGGCTTAAGTAAAATCAGAACAGGCAAATGGTACATGGAGGGAGAGATGTTGCTCCTTACATTGCTAACCTTTTCAACAAAGAAGGAAAGAAAATTTTCACAGTCTTCACAGAAGAAATTGGGACAGTAGCAGAAGCCGGAGCAACAATATCCCTGATTGTGTCAAATAAAACCTTAGGGTTACCTCTGCTCCTAGAGACTAGGTCTGAAAAATAAGCAGCCCTTGCATCACGAATTGAAGCGTTAAAGGAAACTAGAAGGTCTTTTAAATTAAAGAGATGAACCTGTAAACGAGTCTTTCTCCACAAACGCTCAGCTTTACGACAGACACCCTTTAAACAGCGAATGCTGTCGTTTATCCAGGGCGAGGGTTTTGTAACAGGGGCTAGTCTAGTTTTAATAGGGCAAATATTATCGATAATAGAAAGACAGTAATTATTAAAAAGATTTGTCATTAAATCAACAGCATTAGAAGCAGAACCAAAATAAAAACATCAGAAAATTTAGCAGCAGTAGAAGAATCTGAGACGCGCGAGCTAAAAGCACAACGCTCAGGAGGAGGAGGCAAATAAAAAGACAAATTAAATATAATACAATGATGGTCCGAAATAAAAATATCCTCAGAACTAATACAGTCAATGGTTAAGCCAATAGTAAAAACAAGGTCCAGAGTGTGCCCTTTGGTGTGGGTGGGGCCAGATACATGCTGTGTGAAGTGAAAAGAGTCCGTGATGGTAAGAAAACCTCTGGCAAAGAGGTCAGAGTCAATGTGCATATTAAAATCGCCAATTATTAGCAATCTGGACAACTTCAAGATGGAAGATAAAAAGTTACTGAATTCCTTTAAAAATTGTCCAGGTGGACGATAAACTACAGCACAGTAACACGGATCTTTAATTCCAATTTTAACCAGCTGTGGTTCAAACGTTGACATGTTTTCAATCATCAATGAGCGACAGTGAAACCAGTTTCGATACACCACAGCCAGTCCTCCGCCACGACCAGAAGTCCTGACAAAGGAGTCAAAGTTCAATAAGGGAAGAATAGTCACCATCACGCTGCCAGATTTCAGTTAAAAATAATAAGTCGAGTTTTTTGGAAAGAATAAGAAAGATGGAAAATGGAAAGAATTTTATTTGTCCTAGATCGGGTATTGAGAAGCGCCATGCTCAACGAGGACTAAGTCAAACCATTACTGACACTGGCCCGTTTTAGGGGGCGTAGAAACTGGGGGTTCGATCCGTAACGATCATAGATACCGCTCGCTGCTGGGGCAGCGGGCCAAATAATAGGAGAGTCTGGATGAACACTCCTAAGGAAACACGATCTCATAAGTCCAGGATTTGCAAAATCCAGCAGGGGCAGGGGAAACAAATTCTCCTCCGAACAGGCAGTCTGAGCACAGTAACTAGAAATGCTCGACGTCGCTTACCTGCTAATCTTCGTCTGAAGAGGAGTCTAAATTTCACCTGGACACCAGCTCTTTTACCTCTCCTCCTCCGTGATTTGCGTGGACCCAAAAGGGTGCTGTTGGCGACATCTGTCAAAAATCCAGACACCGGCGGCGGAGGAGGGAAGAAGCCATTGTATGAAGGAGCGATATCCAGGCCCACCATAGAGGAGCGAACAGATAGTAGTGTCAGACGATCATAGACTAGGGCAGGCAATACATCAGAGACAAAAACGGAGAGCAGGACAGTCAGAAACAGCCGCATAACAGAGCGAGGGAAACTGCAGCCAGCAGCGGCAAGCCCGAACACAGGCGCCATCATACCGGAGATGGTATGGTAAATTTACAACCTACACCTGATTGTTGGGTCGGCTCAAGGCGGACTCATGTTCACACTGTAAACTAACCACCCTGGAGTTCGTTATGAACTGGGCTGAGACCACCAACTGGACCACCAACTCCAAAGCATAATGGGGTGTTTTTTTTCTCTTTGGTTGACACCTAAGTTTTATTACTCTGCTCACATCTGCTTAAGTGAACCGCACTGTGACCAACACGTACATGGTATCACAGGGTTTGTGGCATTTTGTTTTCAGTGATTTTAGTTTTCAGACTGCTGTGCAGTTTTTCACCTGTCTTGTTCCCAACGATCTCCTGATGTAAGGAGAAACTGATTATTCAATCAGCCCCAGCTGCCATGCCAGCCTCCCTGGCACCAGCCCTGAACCAACTGAAAAACTGCTCCTCTGCAGCAGAGCCGGAGACCACAACCTGCCACATACCCCACTGCCCAACGTAGGCCGGGGACACAACCAGCTGAGCTTACTCCCTCACCCCCGCGAGCAGGAGAGGAAATCAGCCACGACTATCTGCACCCCTTGCCTGTGGACCAACTTGAACTTAAATAGCCAGAGAGCCAAATACCACTGAGTGACGCAGGCGTGGGTATTCTTGATGCGGTGGAGCCATTGCAGGGGGCATAGTCGGAACAGAGGATGAATGAGCGTCCTAGGAGGCAACAACGAAGAGGGTCGACTGCCTGCAAGATTGCTAGACCCTTCTTCTCCACTGTTCTGTATCGGGACTTCCTCTTCCGGCTGACGAACACAATAGGGGTGGTCGATCCACTTACCTGCTGTGACAAAACGGCCCCCAGCCCTCTGTTCAAGGCATCCATCAGCAGAATGAAAGGGAGGGAGGGAAAGTTAGGAGCATGGGGAAGGGGTTCCCCAAAGAGAGCATGCCTGGCACTGCGCCATTCACTGGACCAAATCTAGGACACCCTTTCAGGCAAGGTCAGTTAAAGGGCGTGTTTTTTCCGTGAAGTCAAGTGCAAACTGGAGGTAGTAAAATGGTAAATGGCCTGTATTTGTATAG